GCTCACATTGGCCCTTTTAATCTCCCCATTAACCCTATGAGATTACAGATGGTCAATATCCACTGTTGCATGCAATAAGGAAACTGACTTCCAAAACTGTTTAAAAACTTCAAGAAGGACTCAGAGCTAGTAAGGAACAGGGTAGGTATTTGGATACAGGCCCTCTGACTCCAGGATCTGAGTCCCCTAATATCACCAAATGTTGCTTCTGATGAAGATAAAGTAATAAATTAGCCTGCGCTTTTCAAGCCTGTGTGAAAGCAGCTTGAAGCTATTGGATAATAGCACCCATCTTAAAAGAGCTTCCATTCCCCTGGAGGTGAACACGTAGCAGATAAGATATGAATGAGAGTGTTCCTAATCACACCTGTGTGAACAGCTATGCCAAGGGCCAGGCTGATTGGCGCATTTGGCCAACACGGGAGAGCTGGTTTTACTATTGACTGATCCTGTGACCATAGGTAGAGAAGTGATTTAATCTCTTACGAGTCTGGAAGTGCACTGCATCCTTTGTTTCTTCCTCACTAGACTTCTGGAAGAAAGAGAGGTTCTCTTGTACTGTGACTTCCACGGGCACAGTCGTAAGAACAATATCTTCCTGTATGGCTGTAACAGCAACAGTCGTAAACACTGGCTTCATGAGCGAGTCTTTCCTCTAATGTTAAGCAAAAATGCACCAGATAAGGTAAGCATGTGCCCTAAGTTTCTGACTGAGAACAAAGCCTGCTTCCTGGAGGAAGTGTCTTATTTGGCTCATGGTGTTTAGAGTTATTATCCTTAGTGTTCCCAGGAGCCTTGGTGTCAAGAATTAGAGTGTGGTTTAAGAATTGCTGGATCAGGGACTGGAGAGGTGGCTCAGTGGGCAGGAGCACTTGTTGCCCTGCAGAGGACCCAGTTCCCAGCACCCACGTGGTGGCCCACCACCATCTGTAACTCCAATTCCAGGGGATCTGATGCCCTCTTCTGACCTCTGAGGGCACCAGGCACACACATGGTGCACATCCATCCATCCCTGCAAAACACCTATACACAGAAACATTTTAAATCTAAGAGAAGTATTTTGTTTGTTTGTTTGTTTTTGAAACAGGGTTTCTCTGTGTAGCCTTGGCTATCCTGGAACTCACTCTGTCGAGCAGGCTGGCCTTGAACTCACAGAGATCCCCCTGCCTCTGACTTCCAAGTACTGGGATTAAAGGCATGCAACACCATGCCCAGCTTTAGAAAAAGAGCTTTTCAAACAATTTTTTTAAATGTTGCTGAATCGTCCAAGTGTGGTGGTACACACCATTAATCCCAGCACCCTGGAGGCAGAAGCTGACAGATCTCTGTGCCTTTGAGGACAGACTACTCTGCATAGCAACTTCCAGGCCAGCCATGGCCACAAAGTAAGATCTGCCAAAAAGCAAAAGAGAGGTAAGGAATTTCTGGGCCCATGACTTGATAATGGATCAAGTATGGACTACCCATATAGTGGAGTGTTACTTACAGTAACGTAAGTTTTAAATGCTGATAGGCGAGGACATAGATGCACTTGATCATGTTAAGTTAAATGAAAGAAGTCAGATGAAATACTATATGATTCCATTGCATTCGATGTTCAGAAAAGACGTCTCTGCTCTCCCCCCCACCATGTTGGGGATCAACCACTGGCTTGTTTGTGCTAACTATTGAGCAACATCGGCAGAAAGGCCAATCTACAGTTGTTTGTTTGTTTGTTTTCAGAACAGGGCAGCACATGTGTGGAGGTCAGAGAGCAACGGTCAGGAGTTGGTTCTCTCCTTCTACCATGTGGGTCCCAGGGAGAAAAATCAGGTCGTCAGACTTGGGGATAAAGGCCTCTACTCACTGATCCGTCTTGCCAGCCCATGGCAAATCTATAAAGCCAGAAGTGGTTCAGGGATGGCGGTGTGGGGTGCAAGTGAATAGGAGGGAGCTGCTGATGAGTATTGAGTATCTTTTTGTTTAAGTTTCTCCGCCGGGGGAGCTGGCATCAGCCCGGGACTTGTGAAGGTGGGCAGGTGCTTTAGCACCAGCTCCATCCCAAGTCTGTGGATTTCTTTCTGTGGTTTTGGAGATGTTCCATCCACACTCAGACTGTGGTGATGGCTGAACAGCTGTGTAGATGTGATAAACCACTGAATTATGTGCTGGAGTTTTTAATTCGGGGGTTGTGTGTGTGTCTGATTGTTGGAGACTGGCTGCCCCAAATTCTCTGTTTAGATGGGCAGCAGTATTCCCATCCTTGCCGCTCAAGCACCAGGATGACAGCGTGCACCACCATGCCTGACTGAGTTGCACATTGTTTATGTAACCGTGTAATTTAAATGAGTTAGTTTTTTCATGTGTAAATTATTTCAGTAAAAAATGATGTGTGTGTGTTCGCACGTGCATGTGTGTACACATGCTGAACTCAGAGCCTCATGCATACTAAGCATGTGCCCCACCAATGAGCTTAAAACTATTCCAAGATTCATTTACTTATTTATTATTTGGTTTTTTGAGACAGGAACTCACTCTGTAGATCAGGCTGGTCTCAAACACCTGCCTCTGCCTCCAGAGTGCTGGGGTTAAAGGGGTGTGTCACCACTGCCCAGTGATAATTTTTTAAAAATTGCTCTGGGTAGTTCACCTGGGCAAAAGTTGAAACTCTTCCTAAGTGAGGTGATTATCTGTCACCTTTAACTCTGTGCTTAGGAGGGGAAGGCTTTAAAGGATGGGTACAGGGTTAATGTCAGTGGGGAGATAACTCAGTTGGTAAAATGCTTGCTATGCTATGGGGGGCCTGAGTCTGGTTCCAGAACCCATAGGAAAAGCTGGGCGTGGTAGTGATCACTTGTAATCCCAGTGCTGAGGAGATAGATGGATCCCCAGGGCTACACAGCTGCCTAGCCCACTCAGCAGTCCCAGGCTCAGGAGAGATCCTGTCTCAAAACAAAAGTGAGTGGCTCCTGAAAAAGGCACCCAAGGTTGACCTCTGACCTCTACATGTGTGCAAGTACACACACACACACACACACACACACACACACACACTGATTCACATGTACACCTATGCACACCCCACACACAAAAATGTTAATCTGATATGAGTCTCTACACAAGATCATAAATATCCAGGGCTGGTAACACATACATGTCCATAATCCTGTCACTCTGGAGGCCAAGACAGGAGACACCATGAATCTATCTTAGGCTAAAAACACAAAGCTAATGAAACAATTTTACAGCTTCATAGTTAACTAACAGCTTTGTGATCATTGGACAAATACAGATAATTTACATTAGTTTAGAAGTTGCTTTTCCGCATTATAAATAGATTCACAAATATAACTACCATTAGAGATTAGATTGGATCTAGAAAAAAACGATAGTTCAAATTTTATCCCATTAGGCTGTATGTGACCAGGCTGGAGATGTAATTCAGTTACAGAGTGCTTGCCCAGTTTGTATGAACACTGTATAAACTGGACATGGCAGTACACACCTGTAACCCTAGCACTCAGGAGGTGGAGACAGAAGAATCAGAACTTCAAGGCCATCCTTGGCTACTTAGTGAGTTTGAAGCCAGCCTAGGGTACACTAACCCCCCATGCCAAAAATCAAAACCAGTGTGAGAAATGTTTTATGAGTGCTATTCTTGCCTATTACACAGAGAACCATTTTTCTCTCCCCTTTTTGTCTTGAAATGACATCATAACTATAACTCAGAACCACACCAGCGGAGCCTTGGGGCTGGGATTAGAACCCTGTTAGCTCTAGCTCCTTCAGTCTTTCCGGGAGGAATGCTCTGTGGTACCTCTCTAGAAGCCCTGGATTCCATAGAGCTAGCAGCAAGATCCCTTCTTGCAAACCTTCTTAGCAGAGTAGGATGATGAAGAGCTGAGCTGGGCATGAAAGGCAAAGGAGGGTATTGAACTCCTACCAAGAAGATCGACACCACGGAGGGACAGAGATTATGGGGGTAAGAAACAGACAAATCAAAAATCATATTTGGAGGAAAACCTAGATCCGAGAGTTCACATTTTGTGATAGAAAATAAGTCACAGAGCCCACGTGGAGAACACACATGTAGCCCCAGCGTTCACAAGTTGCAAGAGGGCTGAAAAATTACTGATTACATGTCAAGAAAAGACTTAGAAAAGCTGGCTAGTACCTGAAATGGCAAAGTGTGCCCGTGTCCCCAGATTTCTAGGGATCCTGGTCTAGCAAGATGCTCTGGAGGTAGGAGCAAATAAGGCTGGAAAATAGAAATATCTGTATCTGTCTCTTTTAAAGACCACAGTCCACGTTAAATGCTGTGAGACCTATTTAGTTAACACCCCATCTCCCCAGCTGAGGTTACCACAGAGCTCCTCGCCCACCACCACCTTTGGGCATTTCTCAAAATTAGCGGTGGCACACGCCTCTGACCCCAGCACTCGGGAGGCAGAGGCAGGCGGATATCTGTGAGTTCAGGGCCAGCCTGGGCTACAGAGTGAGTTCCAGGACAGCCAGGGCTACACACAGAAACTCTGTGTTGGAAGAAAAAAAAAAAGGTAGTATCTTTGAATGGAATATATATTAGGAAATAACACGTGAGACAAGAACGGCTCTCAGAGAACCATTCTTGTCTCCTGTTGACGACTCTCGGACATCTTGCATTTGCCCGTCTATATAATTAACAGAGAATCTGGGTTTCTTTTCAGTTCTCTTTTGACAGTTGTAACTTTAAGGTCCAAAAGTGCAAAGAGGGAACCGGAAGAGTTGTGATGTGGCGGATGGGCGTCATAAACAGCTACACCATAGAGTCCACCTTTGGCGGGTCCACCCTGGGTAAGAGGCGAACCTGGCCAGGGAGAGCCTGGCACAGCATCCGGGAGAAGACAGGCTTGGGAAAGCCAGAGAAATAGCTGGTGTGGAGGATTTCCTTGCTAGCTAGGTACCGCAAGTACGAACGTGGAGTACAGTGCATCGCTGAACCGCATGCCACAGCGTTTCCTCGGGACCTGGAGTCAGGAATTCAGTTTTGACCTCCAGCTGCATTGATTAAGTTCTGTGATCCTGGGTCAGGTGTTTAACTTCTTTGACGCTCATATCCCTCTAAGTGACGAGAATAGTACCTGAATTGTGAGCACTGCTTTAGCAGGCAGTACCTGCCACAAAGTAAAACCAAAATGATTTCGAAAGAACTTGATAATCCATTACAATAGTAAACTTTTTCATTATCAAAGATTCTTCTGGACCAAACTAAAGTTAGGAGAGCTGTCTTGTTCAGAAACATACTACTCTAGAATAAGAAGTGGCATTTAAAATTTACTTTTATTTTTATTCATGCGTATTGTGTATGTCTCTCTCTGGGTGTGTACATGTGTGTTCTCTCTGTCTCTCTGTCTCTCTGTCTCTGTCTCTCTCTCTCTCTCTCTCTCTCTCTCTCTCTCTCTGTATGTATGTATGTATGTATGTATGTATGTATGTATGTCTGCCATGTGTGTGCAGTTGCTTACAAGGGTTGGGAGAGGGTGTTGGATCGATCCCCTGGAGCTGGAGTTGCAGGCAGTTGTGAGTGGTCCAGGGTGGGTGCTGGGAACCAAACTTGGGTCCTGTGGAAGCATTAGTAATGCTGAGCCCCTCCAGCCCTATGAAGAATGATACTCTAAAAATTTAATCACAAATTAGATTTGCATTTTGCACATAAGGTTTAGGAGGCTGGAAAGATGCCTCAGCTGTGAAGAGCACATACTACTCTTGGAGAGGACCTAGGTTCAATTCCCAGAACCCACATGCTCACAATCACCTGTAACTCCAGTTCCAAGGGGCTCTGACACCCTCTTCTGACTTCCGAAGTCACCAAGCACACACATGGTGCAGACATACATGCAGAAAAAAATGTTCATGTTCATTAAATAAATATAAATATGAAAATCTTTAAAATAAAAGACCTAGGGCTCAAGAGGTAAGTCAGTGGTTAAGAATGCTTGCTGCTCTTCCAGAGGACCTGGCTTTGACACTGGCACTTGTGTCTGGCAGTTCACAACTATCTGTAACTCCAGCTCTCGAGGATCCAAGCCTCTGGTCTCCCTGGGCATTTGTACTTATGCACACAGAAACCTGTAACTACACATAATTGTAAAATTTTATTTTTATATGTATGTGTGTGAGTCTCTTGCCTGCATGTATGCATGTGTGCCACTTGCATGCAATGCCTGCAGAATCCAGAAGAGGGCATTGGATCCCCTAGAACTGGAGCTATGGATGGTTGTGAGCCACCACGTGGGTTCAGGGACCCTAACCCGGGTCCCCTGCAAGAACAGCAAATGCTCTTAACTGCTGAGCCACCTCTCCATCTCGTTTTTAAAAATCTAACAAAAAAAATATGTTTTTTTTTCCAGGCAGTAAAAGAGACACTCATTTTACCGTTGAGGACCTGAAGTCCCTAGGTTATCATGTCTGTGACACGATTCTGGATTTCTGTGATCCTGACCAGACCAAGGTAAAAACGGAGTTTCAGGAAATGTTTCAGCTGCTGCTGCTACTCTGCTGAGTTTCACGTGGGTCCAGAGTCCACCCCGATGATCTTTGTCTCCTCTTAATATTTTTTTTTTACCTAATGTTTTTTACAACCAGAGAAAACAGAACCCCTAGCCTGTGAACTGTCAAGAAATGGTAACATTTCATAATCCACCTAGAAGGAAGAGACCATCCTTTGGCTCCCCTCTCCCTAACAGACAGGTTTGCTCATGGCAGCGCTGGTTCATACTTCTTTTTCTTCTATTTCGGAAACATTGCATACATGGCCTACTTATTAATCCTTCCCTCTGCACTAGTGGCCGCCCCCTGCAGCCTGCCTGAGTAAGATTAGGCCTCAGGAGTTGCTTTTTTTTCTTGCCAGCCGGTTTTCATCTTTTTATGCTTCCTCTCCACGGCAAGTATTCTCCAGCTTGCCTCTGTCTGAAAGCATGAAGATTTCCTTTGGCCCTGTTTTTCTAGTGCCTATTTCTGATTCCCTCACTCAATCTGAGAGGGGTCGTGTCCCGCGGTCCCTAACACGTCTCGGTCCCTAACACGTCTCTCACGTCCCTGTCTAAGTGTTGGCTTGACAAGCACTACCCTGGGTGCCATGTTTGGTAAAGGATCAAAAGGCCTGTTTAATCAGTGCCTGCCTTCCCCCTGATAGTGCTGGACACGGAGCACACGACCTCCTCATTCACGTGAGCCAAGCACTCTACTGCTGACCTACGTCTTTATCCAAACCATCCCTGCCATAGGCCACAGTCAGAGCAATGCCATTCTGAGTGTTTCCTCCTCGCAACTCAGAACAGTCGATGAACCCGTTGCAGAAGTGGGCCATAGCCAGAGAAGTGGCTAAGGCAGTGCCCGCTGATCCTGTGCTCTAAGGTAGTTTTATGTGTATAGCCCAGGCCACGTGTCCGTTACCATGTCTTTAGTAGAAGGAGTTACAGCTTACCCCATCAATAACTTAAGTGCCTTTCAGCGTACCCTCCAAAGCATCTCCTGACAAGCGTATGAAACTTTTTTCCCTCCACTGCAGTATACTCAGTGTCTACAAGAGCTTAAGGAGCTCTTACAACAGGAAATCCACAAGAAATTCAGTAACTTTGGACAAGATGTGGACTTAGAAGCAAGCTGGAGTGACATTCCTTTGTCTGACATCGAATCCAGGTAACAAATTTCATTTCAAAGAAAATCTGGGATTGGTAATACATCGCTGATGCCAGTACTTGGGAGACAGGGGCAGGGGGACTGGGAGTTTGAGGAAAGCCTGGGTTACTGTTACATGACACCCTGTCTTATTTATTTGTTTGTTTATCTATCTCTGTCTGTCTGTCTGTCTGTCTGTCTGTCTGTCTATCCATCCATCCATCTATTTATTTATTTTGAGACAAGGTCTTACTGTATCACCATGGCTGACCTAGATCTCACAGAGATCTGCTTGCCTCTACTTGATTAAAAGCATGCCCATGCATATTAAAATATGTCCATGTCCTAAGACCTTGGCCAGATGTGGTAGCGCATGCCTCTAACCCCAGCAGTCTGGAGAGAGATGTAAGCAGATCTCTGTAGTGAGTTCCAGGAAAGCCAGGGCTAGAGAGAGACCCTACGTCTTAGCTATTTTTTTATTGCTGCAACAAAATACCATGGCCAAGATAACTTAGAAAAGAACGTCTTAAATTGGACTTACGGTTTCAGAGGGTCAGAGTCCATGATGGCAGGGCAAAGGTATGGTGGCAGGAACAGCTGAGAGCTCACATCCTGTTTTTGTTTTTGATTTATCTTGTTTTGTTTGAGACAGGGCCTCACTATGCATCCCTGGCTGACCTGGAACTCACTGTGTAGACCAGGCTGGCCTTGAACTTGCAGAGTTCTACCTGCCTCTGCCTCCCAAGTACAGGGATTAAAGACGTGCGCCACCACACCTGACTTGAGAGCTCATATCTTGAGCTGAAAGTCAGGGGAAGAGACAGACACTGTGAATAGCTGCAGTCTTTTGAAATCTAGAGCCCTCCCCCAGTGACACACCTCCCCCAAAAAGGCCAAACCTCCTAATCCTTCCCAAAGAGTTCCATGTCTGAGCCTGTGAGGGCCGTTTTCATTCAAACCACCACAAAAACCACCCTATCTCAAAAACCAAAACAAAATGGCTCTTGTAATAATACATACTACAGGTGATCATAATTTAGAACAAAATATTAGTAGTGATTGAAGGAAGTGTCAAACTGATTGGATTCTAGGTTGTTTTTCAGTCTTACAGTCTTAATGCTCTGAAAAGAGGCAGACTAGCAAACAGAAGTGAGGAAGGTGGGATTTTCCAACCCCAGCTTAGCAACTGCTCAGTCCTTTCCAGGTAGTTAGATCCTGTTGTGGTCAAAACAGTTAGAGATCTTGATAGTGAGCCATTGGCCTCGAAGTATTTCTTAAGCTTCTCAGATTCCAGCTTGACCCACTCCTGCATCCTGAAATCAGACAGGTGATCCACAGAGGAATGGTCAGGGACCAGAACAATGGAGAAGACAGGAAGAAAGCAGTTTTCCCATTCCACCACAGGGCTCTTGTAACTCTGAGGTGCTGGGTTCTTTTCATAGAGTTGTCTGTCCAAGGGATCTGTACTCACCTACAGGCCGTAAGAACCCAAACCTGATATCCCGGCCACAGCTACGATTATGCCTGGATTCTGGGTGTATTTTTGTGTTTTAAAGCTCTTAATATTTTATTTAAAAATTTAAAAAAGTATTTTTATTCTATATGTATGAATTTTTTTTTGTCTGCATGTATGCATGTGTATCACATGTGTACCTGGTAACCATAGAGATCAAAAAGGGCGTCAGATTCACCTAGACCTGGATTTAGAGATGTCTGTGGGCGGCCATGTCAGTGCTGGGAACTGAACAGGGGTCCTCCAGAGCAGTCAATGCTCTTAATCTTTGAGCCCTCTCTTTAGGGGAGCACATAAAGGGTTTTATTCAATCCAAACACCATTCCCTCCCCTCAAGTTCCTCCCTTATTCCCACTAGCATGTGTCTCTTCCAGCTTCATGCTCTCTCTTTTTCATGGCTGTGCAAGAATAGCACCCTTTACTCCAGCTTTCTGGCCAAGGTGCCTCTGACTGCCTAGTCCTTCTTAGAAGGTTACGGGGCTGGGCTTGGAGTCTTCCATCTTTGCAGGACAGCTGGGAGGGTGTGGCTGCTCCATCCACAATAGGTAGCACTTGGAGTTCTGGGCCCCTCAGCAGCTCTGCTGGCCCAGGCTCACAAATGTTTCTCTAGAGAACTTAAACCGCAGCATCAGACCAGGCAGGGTGCCCTGTCAATCATTTCCCTGTCCGCTCTCCCTCAGTCCATTGCGCTAGCCCCTCCCTATCACAGCCTAAAAAACAAAATGTCCCGTGCAGGTCAGCTCACTGGTATACAGAGCCCAGGAGAAGGAATGGCAAAAATAGGCAGACTCTATACATAGCTGACTCAGAACACTGGTGTGTTTAGCCAAGAATTAGAAGAAACAGTTTGCCAACGTCTATACCACAGAGTCAGATGGCACAGGCCTCCCTGGGCTGCTACCTGTCCGTTCTCACAATTGCATATAAAGGCAGGCTAGGAATGGTGAGGTTGCTCTGTGTGTGTGCACACCTGGTTGACATTCTCTGGGACATGCTACATCTAATGCCTTGATATCCCGTTTGCTAAGGTGGTCTCTGATTTCCAAAAGGGACTACACCTATTATCCAGCAGCCTCAAAGGCTCCTTCTTGACTGGAGAAGCCTTTGAGAACAGCGCATTGGAAATTAGATCACAGGAAACAGGGCTTTCTCTCTGCTCTGCAGTGGCAGGACTCCTGGTTGCCTGCCAAGGGGAGGGAGCAGAATAGGCTAGGCAAGTGCTTTGAAATGCTTTTTTTTCCCCTGTGAAGTTTGAGTTTTGTGCCCAAGGTACTTTTCTATTTTAAATCTAATTGTATTTATTATTATTATTATTGGGGGTGGGGAGGAACTGGATTCAGGTCATCAGGCACTCATACCTACTGAACCATTCCACTGGCCCTGAAGACACTTCATGGAGCCTCTATTATATACAGTGTCATCCTCAGTTCCAGTCCACCATATCCCAGGAAGAGGTAAACGCGTGTGATATGATGAAAAAAGTTTAACCGTCGCAGTCCTTGTCCATCCTGGCCCTTGCAAGAAAGGGCAGAGGAGAGTTTGTGGAGGAAGATTCCATTAGTCTGTATGTGCATCCAGAACCTGTGAATGGAGAATTGAAGTCATTAAAACAGTGCTCCAGGGCTAGTGATGCAGCTCTGCAGCTGGAGTTATCTCCAGTCCCGTGATGCAGCTCTGCAGCTGGAGTTATCTCCAGTCCCGTGATGCAGCTCTGCAGCTGGAGTTATCTCCAGTCCCGCCCAGGCCCGCAGTCACTCAGATCCAAATAAACACACAGATGCTTATATTATTTAAACTGTTTGGCCTAATGGCTCAGGCTTCTTGCTATCTAGTTCTTACATCTTAAATTAACCCCTTTTTATTCATCTATACCTTGCCATGTGGCTCGTGGCTTACCAGTATCTTACGGCAGCTGGCAGTGTCCCCTGCTTCAGCCCTCCTGTTCCCAGAATTCTCCTCTCTCCTTGTCCCGCCTATACTTCCTGCCTGGCTACTGGCCAATCAGCATTTTATTTATCAATCAATCAGAGCAACACATTCATAGCATCCCCAGCATAGCTCAATGGCAAACAACCTGCTTAGCATCCATAAGCCTCTGGGTTCAGGCTCCAGCATCCCTCAGACAAACAACAACAAAATGGAAGATTATTTATTTTTATTTTATTTTATGCGGATGGATATTTTGCCTTCATGCATATTTGTGCATCACATGCGTGCAGTAACTGTGGGGGTCAAAAGAGGGCATTGGATTCTTTGGAACTGGAGTAGCAAGAAGGTTGTGAGCCACCCTGTGGGCCCTTGGAACTGAACTCAGATCCTCTGAAAGAGCATCCAGTGCTCTTTCCCTGAACCATCTCTCTAGCCTCCTCAATTTTTTTTCTCTTCTTTACTTTGTGTGTGTTTGTTTGTTGTTTGTTCTTTTGAGACAGGGTCTCACAAGGTAGACTTGACTGGACTGGAGCTCACTATGTAACCCAGGCTGGCCTCAAATTCAGAGAAGTCCACAGGCCCCTGCCTCCTGTGGGTTTAAAGACACATTCGTACCACATGCAGCTTGTTTTGCCTTCATTGAGATAGTGTTTCACTATAGCCCCGGTTGGACTGTCACTCAGCAATCCTCCTGCTTCAGCTCCCCAAGTGCTGGCATTACAGTTGCGCCCCACTGCACCTGGCCAAAAGTTCCTGAAGCAATTTTTCTGGTGTCTAGTCTGCTGACTATTCGTCACCTTTAGTTATTCATACATTCAGCACATTTTCCCTGAGCAACCGGTAGAATGAATCCTGGCTTTGGGGAATTAGCATCAGCTCAGAAGAAACGAAGAAGGAAATGCCTCTGTCCTCGGGGACATCACAGTCTCTAGGACTGCACACTGTATATCCCACAGCCTCTCTCCCCTCTGCCAAGGCACCTCTGCCCGTCTGGTCTGCGTTTGCTTTGCACACTGACTGTGTACTCCTTGGTGCAGAGGCTCTGCGTCCTCCAGTAACAGTTCCTTCCGTGTCGTCATCTTCTTCTTCTTCTTCTTCCTTCCCAGCACAAGTGGCTCGGACAGCTCCCTCTCCGATGGTCTTCCTGCCCACCTGCTGAACATAGCCAATGAGGTGAGAGGACGCCGGTTCTGGTACACTCCCAAAACATAAAAACCACGGAACCAAAAGCCCTGTGACACTAGATAGCTGAGCAAATGTTCCAGCCCTCCCAGAACCTGCACGAACTATAGCACCAGCCCCAGGGAGGCAGCTCAGGAAGAAAGTGCTTGCCTCGTACGAGTGAATTCCTGGTTTCAGTCACCAGTTAGTCGAAAAGAAAATTGCAATAGTGTCCTGGCTGGTCACCTACCCCAAGTATGTCGCCATGTCCTTTGTCTGCTTCTTGCTTAACTGCTGGAGCTTCTTTACGGTGACACCAGGCCGAACATTTTAGCCGCAGTGGTCAGAGTCATCTGGACCTGACCTTGTCAGCATAAGGCACCTGTTTTGTGTTGTCAATCACGTGGCTGTCGATCCAGGTGCCCCTTTGGTCGCAATCTCTCTTCGTGGGAGTCGGGCATGCTAAATAGGGAACAGCTTCTGGAAAGAAGGCGGTTGAACTGCTGGCTCGTTCTCCACACCAATAAATAAGGACCACGTGCCAGGCCACTGTGTCCCGCCTGTTAAGCGGGCTGCCGTGTGAGGATGAGTGTGGCTCTGCAGCCCCCTCTGACCAGTTCCTCTGTCGTTTCTGGAACAGTTGAATCAGAAGATGCTGCTAAAGAAGACAAAGAAGAAGAGACTTCAGACCAGGAAACAGCGGAACGAGCAGTACCAGAAGAACTACCTGATGCGGGAGCTGAAGTTGGCAGAGGACACCCCAGTAAGCCATCTCCCTGGCCTCCTCCTGCTCTCTGTCCCTCATGTTCCACAGACAAAGCAGAGACAGAGCTAGAGTTCATTCCCAGCTAGAAGGGGTGGTGGGAAGAGCGGGTGCTTTCTGCTTTGAGGTCAGAGTCCTTCCTCAGATCCTCTGCATGTGTCTGAGCAGATCTCAGCCTCAGCCCACTGGTCCCCTCCTCCACTCGCTCAGGCACAGCAGGTACAGGCTATGACTAAAACCGAATTCCCACAGGGAAGAGGCAGAGTCAGAGTGTGTTAGCCGGAGTTCAGCCAGCCTGGCTGGGTGGTTGAGGTGAGGGTCAGGAGGGGATACCCTGCACCTTGTGCATGCCACCCTGCCCCGACGCTGCTTCCTAAATCGAGGCATCCTTTCAAGAGTGTTTCCCCGGTAGGTGAATCGGGTAGATGAGAATGCATCAACTGAACGACCTCTCACTCAATCCTTGTAGGGAAGGGCAAGATTTGCTTCTACTCTGCAAAAGCAGCCTACCCTTTTGAAAACCCCGGAGAAATCTAGTTCTTCAGTAATGAGAAATGAAAAGCCAAGGCTCAATGAGGTAGTCTTTTTGCTTGACTCTCTGTCACACAGATTCTCTGATTTCTCCAATTAGCACGTCAGTTCCACTAGGTGAAGGATGCAGTAGCTAGCCATTGTGTTACTGGGGAATGAAGAGGATGCTAACATTACTTTTGATTAAAAATTGAAATCTTTTATTAAATATTGATGATTTGTGGTTTTATATCAAGAACTTAAGAGGAGGCTGCATTACTTATCCATACAGGCATTCATACACACATCCACACATCAAAAGATTTTATCTTGTGCCTATTATATGGCAGGCCCTTTACTGGATACTGAGAATACATCAGTAAGCAAGATACTGTCCTTTTCCCAGAGACCTTAGAAGTGGGTGGGACTTTCAACAAGTTAGCAGGGATTGTGCTGTAGGGAAAGACACATGGAGAAGAGGCACTTTAGAATCTTATAGCTGAATTCCTGGATTCTCACTGGATACACTGACACACACCTGTAATAATCCCAGCACTTGAGAAGTAGAAGTTGGGGAACCAATGAGTTCTCCATGAGACCTAGTACCAAAATGGGGCGGGGGGAGTAGATTTCAGAGAATAAGAATAGAGCTCAGTGGTAGGAAACTTTCCTAGTATGTGCAAGGGTCTGAGTTCAATTCTCAGCATTGCTTTAAAAACTGTTTTTGGAGCCAGGTGGTGGTGGTGCACGCCTTTAATCCCAGCACTAGGAAGGCAGAGCCAGGCAGATCTCTGTGAGTTCGAGGCCAGCCTGGTCTACAGAGCAAGATCTAGGACAGGCACCAAAACTACACAGAGAAACCCTGTCTTGAAAAAAAAAATTGTTCTGTGAACCTGTTGTAGTGATTTAAGCCTGTATACCCGCTCCTGAAGAGACTAAGACAGAAGGATCACAAGTTCAAGGCAAGTCTGAGTAACTTAGAAAGACCCTTCTCAAACTATGGAGAAAAAGGTCCTGGAAAGATGGCTCAGCAGTTCTGAGTGCTTGACACTCTTACAGAGGATGAGGACTCAGTTCCTAGCACCCACATCAGGCAGCTCACAACCATCTATAGCTCCAGAGGACCTAATACCCTCTTCTGGTCTCCTCAGGCACCGGTACATACACGGCATACACTGTGGGGCGTTTACCCACCAGCCCCACAGCTCCCCAAAGTTTTCTTGAGTGCGAGCAGCAGGAAATATTAGATAGAAGGATTTATTGCAGATAATCTTGCGGAGATAAACAGATAGAAAATACAGGATAGCCTCGAGAGGGTCTGGAACCTATTCCAACGGGCCCGACTGTCTCTGCCTCAGGGTATTTATAGAGACACCAAGGGGTGGAGGAAGAGACACTACCCCACCCCAGCACAGCCAAGTGCAGACCATCTCAGACACCTGCACTCAGGCCCGTGGTCCTGATCATCCTCTATGTGGACCTGCTGGGTAAAGCCATGAGCAACCCGAAAACAGGCTTCCACAATACACTTATACAGATATGTATTAAAACTGAGCCAATAATCATATATACCCCAAAATAAAGCTGTTTTTGAAGTTGGGCAATGGTGGTGCACAACTTTAATCCCAGCACTCTGGAGGCAGAAGCAGGCAGATTACTTGAGATCGAGGCCAGCTTTTTTCATAGTGTGAGTTCTAGGACAGCCCAAACTACACAGAGAAACCCTGTCTAGAAAAACAAAACAAACAAACCGCTTTTAAAAAACATTGAGAAAAAGGCTAAAATTATTATATATCCTCAGTTGTAGGATGCTTGTCTGGCATGCTCAAAGTCTTAAGTTCAATTCCTAGTTTCTCTCTCTCTCTCTCTCTCTCTGTCTCTCTCTCTCACACACACACACACACAGGAGGTTTTGATACAATAGTGGCTGGTTCTTAGTAGAACTGACAGAAAGAGCCTTCCTTGAATGGAGTGCTACCCTGTGATTAACAATAATAGAGTAAGTACAGGAAGATCCAACTGGACTACCCCAGGAACCCCCCCCTCCAGAATACAACCATCAAATCAACATCAAGGACTATTTAGTGTCTAATGTAACTGTCAGAAGCACAAGCTTTGAAGTCTGTTCAAATTCCAGCTCCACTCCAGCCCCTAAACCTGGAACTTTGTGAGAGCCATGACTCCATAATTGGATAATTCTATACTGTGAAACTGGTTTCATACAGAAGATATGAACAAATGCTACACAGAGGTCTATGAGAAGCCTCAGGGGACAGAGGTGTTTGTACCTCAAACTGACAACCTAAATTTGATTTCCAGAGTTCACAGTAGAAGACAACAGACAACTCCCAAGGATTGTCTGTGACCTCCACATGTGTCATGGACA